AACAACAGGAAATGACACTTCATCCCTTGATCCAAACATACTCATAATACCTCCAAAGTTACAGTACACATTCACTCCCGGTCATCAACCTCACCGGTCATGAAACCCCCATACCTCGCCGTGGCCATCTACCACCCCCGCTACGGCAACTTTCAGCACTGGGCCCTCCATCTACACTCAGATACTGATAACCTCATTTTCGAAGTCGATGGAGAGCATCCCACTTTCCAAAAGATGGTATCCAATGGACTTCCTTCCGATAACCCAGGTTTCATCGAGTCCATCTTTGTATGTCAGATCGGCAGCCCCGATATCCCGACCGTGAAGGACGTCGTCAACGCCACGCCTGTGGACAATGAGACCCTCGAATGGGACTGCCAGGACTATGTGCTCGAGATACTGGAGGGATGTGAGAAGGAAGCTGTGCTAGAGGATGAGGATGCCGATTACGCAGAGGCCATGGAGATCCTACGAAGTAGACGGGGGCCGATCCTCTAGCTTAGCGTCTAGGCGATCCCTAGTTGATAAGGACAGATGCATACCGCTAAGGTACGGGAGCCCAAGTCCGAGTGCTGCGATAACAGGGATCAATCATGGTTCCTTCAAGGAGAGAGTCACTCATGCTGAAGAGAATCCAGACTCCGGAACGGCCTCCGAGGTCGGGTTCCGAGCCGAAAGGTATACATACAACCGGTTATCTCTAGATCGATAATCATCGAATCATATTCACATTGAACTGAAAGCCGAAAGGCATGTCTTTACATCACAGCTCCCCCACCCATTCTCCTCCACGCCTCTCCCCTCAGCGCCCGCGCCGTATCTCTCGTCCGTTCCATCGCCGACTGGTTCTCAACGGCCCTCCGCAACAAGAAATGCAGACACTCCTCCGTCGACCCCCACGCCAAACACTTGAACACCCCCGGCGCAGCCCCATCCGTCGATCCCCCTACCATCCCCAGACTCACTTCATCCGCCATTCCCTGCAACTGACCAACCTCCACCGGAATCAAAGGCAACCCACTCAGCGCCCGCTGCCGATACAACGCACACGCCTTCCGCACACTCACCCCGTTATGCGACGCCACAAACAGACGCACCTTGGGGAACGGCTGCCCGGGCTCTCCTCCCAACGGATACTGCCTCGTAATCAGACTCTCCACAATATGATCATAGTTCCTGTCCGTATCGGCCTTGGTATCATGAATCCGGTCCCGATGATCATGAGCGATATACGCTCCCCTAACCAGCTTAACACCCATAGCCCAGCCCTCTTTCTGCGCAAGCCGTAAATGCTCATTAAGCCTAGCCGTAGAAGACTTCAAATACGCCTGATAGGTATTCAAAACCACCGGCGCATCCGCCCTCTCCACCCGGTTATACTTCCTCATCAGATCCACCGCCCACGCATCAATCGCCGACTGAAAAATCTGCTGCTCAGCATCAATCCATACCCTTGACCCCTGCGCCGCAACAGCATCACAAATCTCCATCATAGCCTCTTGGATCCGCTTCGGCGGAACACGATCACCGCGCGAGAGTGCCTCCACGGCGGCAGGGCCCGCCCCAGTAAACCTAACACACCATTAGCCCAAACCCATCATCAACCCTCACCACCCAAAACCAAAAAAGAAAGAAAGAGAAAAAAACATACTTAACAGCCAAATAATCCCCCCTCCCACACATCCTCAACGTCCGTAGCGTACCAACCCTCCACTCCTCGACCGCCCGATCCAACACCTCCATCTTCTCCTCAGCAGACTGAATAGAATCCACGTCCTCGACCTTCGCAATGGACTCCCTCGCATACCCCAATATCACGCCCTTGAACCCGAGCCCTTTCATCTCCTGCACCGTACTCCGAACTTCTCCCTCATTAACCCCCGCGCAGAAATGATCGTAGATGGTCCTGCGCAGCAGGTAATTCACGAGGGGGTTCTTGGCCGGGCTGAAGAGGAGGGAGTTCGAGTCGACCATGTACTTTAGCACGGAGAGACAGGGTTTGAGGAGCGGGGAGGCCATCACGGAGGTGAAGAGGAGGGAGCGGAGGAAGGTGCGGGTTGGGAGGGCGGATAGGGGGGTTGGGGTGGGGGGTTTGGGGGGTGGGAGGGTGTGGTGTGTTGGTGAGGTGGTTGTTGGTGATGTTGATGTTGAGGTGTTGTAGTAGGCATGATGGTAGACTGGTGGGTGGTTGTGGAGGAGTTGGTAGTAGAGAAGAGGGGAAGTGGTAGGCCGTTTTGGCCAGTGTAACACTTTTGATATCATTTCAAAGGATGGACTGGATAAGTGTATTCTTTCATTCTACGTCCAGGGTTTATGGTATCCCCCTGTCTACTTATTTATCCCTCGTTATATCTCTGTCAGATAGTAGTAGTGAGGGGTAGGGATGCCAGCGCAGAGTATGTGGTTGTAGATCGCGGCAGGGCGGTTTTTTGACCGATTGGCTTGAGTCTACGCGAGGGGGCTTTTTCTGCATGGATTTAGTGACGTTGTAAGTTGGTGATGGAGGAGGGATTGCATTCGGTGGGTGTTTCCGGTAGTATTCGGTTAAGGTTACCGCTGCAGGATGATGGAACTGGTATATGGTAGGAAGGCATTTGGTATGGACCAATGGGTGCTCTGCGTTCTTATCGAAGACAATATGTCAATGAAAATAATAGGGTTCTATCAGTTTTCTATCTATCTATCGCTCTCTATCTTTCGATCTAATCTATTCGGAATCATACCCCGAAAATAGCACATCTATCGATCCCCCTTCAGATGTCTCGTGCCGTTAATCACCGCATCTGCAAAAGTCGCTCTGGCCCCAGCTCTCTCCACTGTCATCACTCCCTGGATGGTACAACCCCTCGGGGAGGATATATTCTCCCTCAAAACCGCAGGGTGTGACCCCTCTTTCAACAACGCCGCCATCCCGGACAACGTCTGGGCCGCCATTTCCAGCGCCTCCGCCCTCCTCAACCCCTCCACCACACACCCATCCAACAATCCCTCCAAAGGCACTGTCAGAACCCCTATCCCCGCGCCTACTAACATTGTTCCAACATCAAACAAGTCCGCACTAAGAAATTTAACCTTCCCAATCACCTCAAACACCCACGTCACTATTTCCACCAATTCCTCCTCCAGCGGCTTCCTCTCCGGAAGCTCAACAATCGTCATAGACTGGCGCAACCGCGCTGCGACATTCGGCATTGCCCGCACAATCTTCACGCTTTCGCGGTCACCGTCGCTCAGACAGTCAAGTATGTCAGTGGGCGTCATCCCCGCCATGATACTAATAACTAGCTTTCCGGACAACGCTTCCCCGACACCCGGAGCGGAGAGAATACCTTTCGCTAGAAAGGGCTTGCAGGCGAGTAGGATGATGTCTGCTTCGCGCATCGCGCGGAGGTTGGAGTCGTGTGCGATGGTCACGCGGGACGCATCCTCTGCATATTGGGTGCGGAGACGTTCCGCGGATGCGGCGGTCTTGGTGCTTATGATGAAGTGGTTGATTTTTCCCGCTTGGGTGCGCGTTGCGTCCAGTAGACCGCTCAGGATGGCGGAGCCCATGTTGCCTTTATTCTCCGTCAGTAGGTTGTAGATATTTGGGGATGTTGATGGTTGTTGGATTGTAGTGTTGGTGCTGGTGGTGAAAACATACCACATCCGATAAATGCGAGGGTTTTCTCTCCCCCGTCGGGGGAATGCGATTGTACGGTCATCTTTGGTTTCAGTGTGGATTTTTGTGGTTGTGAGTGTAACTCCCGGTTCTTGTGTGATTGATGAATGTTCGATTTTGGAATGTGAAAATTGAGATTGGTGATGAGTCAATCAATCAGCGGAGCGTATCTCCGCCGGTGGAAGAAAAGCACGGCGCGATATGCCGGGCTCGGGGGATGAACCCGAATGATAGATAGCTATCATAGTTCACTGCGGAGATGGTGGGTCGGTGACTGACAACGCATTGGATTGAGTTCGAACCCTCACGTCTTGTGTCAGATTCATATGCTGATTAGGTCAGGCTGTGTTACACTGTAGATGGAGTCTGTGGAGAAGGGATGCAGCAGGAGAGTGCGAGCCCAACGGGTTTGAGTGAAAGGGTGTCTGAGCTGATGATAGATTCATGCTGAGGGATCGGGTTAATGAGCTAAAAAGAGACAAAATCTTGACTTCACCTAGGTGACAGAATACAGCAGCACAGTGTTTTGCTGCCTGCCTCCTTGATGATCAAGACTGTTTGTTTCTCTCGCGCGCTTCTTGTCTCCTTGCTTGGGAGAGACAACTAGTTGTGTGTAGGCGGGAGCAGAACAAAAAAACAAAAAAGGAAGGTACAAGGCCCGAGCCGCGGATCGAACGCGGGACCTCTCGCAGATATGCTTGGGTTTGTATCCCTAAGCGAGAATCATACCACTAGACCACCCGGGCTTGTTATGATGAATGCCTCTAACTTTGGCTTTATCAGCGGCCTGTAAAATAACTATATTCCAAGTAGATCGCGAAGGACGTAACACCATGTTTGGCGGAGTATCATAGATTCCTGGTTTAGTTTTCGGTTCAAGATGAGATTACTATTTCAAAATTCCTATTCCGGCTTCATTACTTATTTTATTTGTGTTTAGGGTGATTTTCACTGGTGCAATACATTTCCGTTATAGAGTGGTGTAACTAATATATATTTACCCACGGGTTGGGCGTTTTGGTGGGAAACGGTAATAATCGTCACCATGTTCACTTAACTTGTGTAAGTAGTGCCAATCAAAACAAAAGACGGTGACAATATCTCGCATAAGACAGACATGGGCACATGATTGAAGCTCACTACCCTGCCCGACATAACACATAGCCATCCCGCCTTATCGTGTGGGGTGAAGAACACCCGGAGTTACGGCAGGGGAATAGCATTATTCGGAGGTATGCACGCACTTCACTTATCGAGGCAATACTAAAAGATACGGTGGCATAGAGAATGCAGAATAGAAAATCATTCTTTGGCAACCCCATTGCCAACGCTATCTAGTCATAAATCTATCGAAGGCGACCGAGGAATTTAAGATAACTACGCCAATAGCATAGTTATTGCACCCAACAGAAAGAGTGCGTCCCAACCAACAGATATCCGACTGAACGGCGATCGTAAGAAAGCGTTGCTTGAAATGCCGCCACTGATACCGAGGGCGCACGGCGTGGGGTTGTTCAAGTCGGACTTGTCACAGTAACAACCCCATGGTGTATTAGCAAAGCCCACTGGCCGACGAAAAAACAGATCAACGTCGCCTGGGCGGAGCGGCATCGATGTCGATGAGGGTGTGAGGTATGGGCATAACCCACATAGAAATATTATGTTCAAAAGACAGCTCAAGAGATCTTCGGGCGCTTCGCATCAGGGAACCCAGCAGAGCCCCGCATACGCTTCCGCTCCATAGCCTCCATCTCCTGCTTCATGATGCGCTCCTGCTCCGTCATCTTCTTGGGTTGTTCCATAACTGGCCCTTTCTTTCCTGCAAGAGGGTTCTTCTTTACAGCCGCAGCAAAGACATTCTTCGGCTTGTTTCCACCACCACCGAAGGACAAAGATACTTTCGGCGCAGCCTGGGGCGCAGGCGGGGCGCAGGCGGGAGTGGCAGCGGCAGCAGGAGCAGGCGAAGCATCGGCAGTGTCTGGAGTGGCTGACGCACCGCTATCCTTCTCCTCAGACGATGCGGGCTTCGGTGACTCGTTCTTCGAATCGCCGTTTGTCTTCGAACCGAATCCAATATTCAGCTTGACCTTCTCACCCTCCTTGCGTTGCAGCTTGCGAGCTTCAGGGTCGATATCTTCCTCCTCCTTCGCAGACTGCTGAGCGCGCTTAATCTGCTCCCGAATCTGTCGCTGCTCCTGTTCCTCATCTCCCCTGTCCTGACGTTCCTTCTTCAGCAGAGCCTCCTGTCGTCTCATGGCCTCCGGACTCCGATCGATATAAGATACGAACAGTCCTTTCTCCGTCTCCTCGACACGGCAAATGCCTTCACGGCCCAGGTATGCAGCGAACTGTGAAAGACTCTTCCATTTCGTAGCGTTCATATGGATGTGCTATTATCATGTTAGCAACAGAATCACTCCGCAAGGATTACGGTCCACTAACCTCTTTATCGGCAATGACTTGCTGGTAGAACTGGTTGATGTGGACCTTTTTCTCGCCATGACCGGTCTTGAGTAAATTGAGAAAGTTGTCGAGGAATTGTTTGCTGTAGTCTTCAATGTATTTCTTGGGATCTTCGCCGATCAGCAGCACCTGGCGCACATGGCTTTCACTCTGGACATGGCTTGGAGGAGTCAGTATCATAGACGTTAACTATTTCACTACTCGGGAAACTCACCAGCGAAACCCGTTCTCATCGCGACACTGACGCGAGCAAGCCTGACAATACCATCTAAGTCTGCCTAGGCCTTTCTGTTGGACGTTAGTATGTCGTTTTGGGTGTGAACAAGAGGGCAACGTACAGCCTTGATCTTGTTGCTGATCGCCTTTGTGGATCCAGCTTCTGCGCGCGGCATGGTGGGCAGAGACAATCAAGTCTTATGATTTCCCAAAGAACAGAATATCAAGGATAGAAAAGAACGCTGAGACAGGGAACTTTAGATGTCGAGCGGAGCGCTTTGCAATCAAGACGCGGAGCGGGTGGCGGGATCGCTGAGATGACTAAGGTATCACGTGAAGGAACAATCATCCCATTTGGGCTAGATAAGCCGATAAGATAAGTGCCGAGCTTCAAGGGGTTGAACCCAGCTCCTCGAGCTCTTGAACCCTTTCAACTTTGAGGGTCAAACGACCTTAGTGAGAGGTCAAGTGACCCTGGAATTCAGCACGTGACTGTAACATACATTACTAAGCAAATTCAAAGTCAACCGACCTATTCGTAGTACTAAGTATCCTTTGTATTTCCAGAAACCATACCAGTTGATCTTTAGATTGTAGGAAGTAGATACCAATAAAACACTAGATATCTTAGCTGATTGAAAAAGCGTTCTAGTAAATATAGTAATTACTTATTACTGCTAGCGCTCCCTCGTTTAGAGAATGTGAATCCAGTAAGTAATATTGTAACTGAACTGAATAGATGAGTTGACCCAAAAGATGATCTTCCGTAAAGTAATAATGACGACAACCCACCAGGCCCACGCTAATTTCTCGCCAGACCAGGCTAACGTCTTCAAGACTAGAATAGAACTAAAGCTGACCTGACCTGGTCAGGTCAGCCCTCACGTGACCACCCAAGTGGGTTAGCGCAGGTCTGGCGAGGAATTAGCGTGGGCCTGGTGAGCTGCGTCCTGGAAAGGGGTCCAACGGAGCTAAATTTACTGTCTATCCGACCTGCTATCGTGGTGCGATATGGCTGATAAGCCACAATAGGGTCAACGGACTCAAAATACTGTCTAGCCGAACTATAACCACACTTTGAGATCGGATAAATTCGAACCTCGAGGGGCAACAATAACGCGTCAATTTATTTCTATGCATATAATGCCGGAATACGCAAAGAGAGTCGGTTCAAACATGTATGAGATTCCTGATTGAAAACCAACGTCCTGAAATTTAATTTCTTTGTCTATGCAATGAACTGTCGAAAGCTCCATGCCCACAATCCCAGATCTCAGATAGCGAAGGCTATGATCGCCCAAGCTCTAGTATGATCTCTTTTATCCGAGAGTGAAACCTGCTCAGATTTGCCAATCTTCCGAGGCCCGGTACCTTCTCCAAATGGCACGTATTTATCGACCAAGTAATACAAGTCATCATAGGCCTTGGCTTCGGAGTCAGCCTCGGACGTGCGGAGAGAATGGGTGGGGGGTTAACTCACATCTGACGAACAGCAGTCTCTTCACTTCTATGATTGACAGAGTAGATATATCACAGTACACCGAGTACATGCGGATCCTGTCGTCCCATTCCTGTTGAGGCTCACTGGACACAAAGTGACGTAAGTAAGTGCATGCATACACTTGGTTGTGGATCTTGTTATAGTTGCATCGGCAATTAGCTGTCTCCATTTTACAGTGCACATAGAATGCGGCAGAGTCAAAGATATAGATGTTTTTGTATATTTAGTGGAAATGTCGAGTGGGTCCTGCGGCTGTTTGGTGCATTTGAAGATACGGCATGTGGTGGAGATCGCGAAGAAGTATGACTGCATAAGACTGAAATAAATCCCATCACATATTCTACATGAGCACATCAAAGTACATCTCAGTAAACACCTATGTACATACTAACCAATCCCCAAACCACTCATGCCAACCCCACCCCCACCGCAAAACAAGCCCACGCTGCAAAATCCACCGTCCAAGTCCTCACCCGATGAATCGTCAACCAACCCTCCAGATCCTCCGTCGAGGAACCCTTTGACTCATCCTCCATGATAGCCAACACCTTGGGAGCAATAACAGGTACATAAAGCAGATGACTAGCGGCGAGTGCTGTGCCGGCTACATACCACGACAAGGATGATCGGAGGCCCGCGACTACCCCTGATCGACGATCCTTTAGAATGTTGTATCCGCCTCCTGCCATGGAGAGGGCCAGGAGGCCGAGGACGCGGACGACGCCGCGGCGGAAGAGAACGCGGAAATAGGATGGTAAGATCTCATTACTGCGGGGACGGTGGTCCGGGTGCAGGAAGACGTTTAGGACGAGGTCTTGGTCGAATGCGAACCAGAGGGTGCAGGTAGATGAGATGAGGGGGGCGGCGCGGAGGAGGTTGTGGGGGTTTAGAATAAGTCCAGAGGCCATTTTTGTTTGATTTGGATTATTTTAGAGATGGAGGGTAGAGAGTATGTAGAAAGTAGAGAAGTAAGATGGTGTATGTGTGATGAAAGAGAAGAAGAGAAGAGTAAGATGCAGCCGGATGTCGGGAGGCTGTTTCCCGGGTGAGACGAGCTACTGTTTAGTGTGTTACAGCGGGCATAGCGGCCATCCATCCCGTAGTGGGTGAGGCTGGTAGTAGCTTGGTTACATGGCATAGCCACACACCCCGCGCCAAAATCTTACGGCCTTGGATCAGTCATCCGACACCTTGGTCTTTTGTACGACAAGTCGAGGAGGGGAGGCTCCCAGAGGACTAAGAGTTGCCTGTGGGGTAATTAGGTTTTGATGGTGCCTGATTAAAAGTCCTTAGCCCGTAGGGATGTGCCCATGCGTTGAAGGTGCCCCGAATCTGAGCCTACGCAGGATGATGTAGGTATCTAATCATACACCTCACTTATACGATGGTGCCTACTTCGATCCATCAGCTCAAGTAGTCAGTCACCAAAGACTCAAACGTCGTGTCCATTATTTCTATGATTCATGGCTTGAGACCGTCCACTGGTATGAGCCCCACTTCCCTCTAACCAAACTGTATTAGGGCCCAAAAGCTGTATTGCGATTCACAAATCCAAGAACTTTCTCTTTTTCAAAGGTAATTAAGATAGCTGTAATATCCCAAAGCCATATTGAATATCTGTAGATCCCGATGGATAGATATCGAAGGTAAAGCTGGAACAGCTATGTCGGTCATACAGTATGCGCAACCGAACCGATGTTTACAACGAGTGTCTTCTGCGAGTCAACCCGGGATCGAAGCTTTGGGTGGTGCCGCTTCACAGACCTGATTAACAATTAGTGTTTGGTAGACTCTGGGATGTAGCCCAGATTCGAGCAGAATCTCTGGATCGACATTGTGTAGTTGATGTTGTTGATGTCGTTGTTGTCTTCTGATAATCGAGGCATCGGGGGTAGATCTGGCTACTCCTAGGTTCATTAGTATCGGTTGTTATAATCCGTGCGACCGCAAACCTTGGGGTAGAACCCTCCTGTAAGACCAATTTACAACATGGTTCCAGATTTTAAGAAGGAACGAGATTCCTGTGAGGAGAAGGGTGATGAACGATAGCGACGTGTCTATCGACCAAGGCATCTTTGCTGCCCTTTGGAAGAATGTCCGTCTTCATAGTGCCCTTCGACTATTATATATTCCAGGCAACAAACCAAATTTTGGATTTGGATAGCGAGGTCGGTGAAAACCAAATTGTGGCCATAGCCTGAACAGCGCTAGTAAACGTCCAGCACAGTCGAGGAAACCAAATTCTGGAAGTCGAGGGCTCTCTGCGGCACCGTACCACAGCGTCCGAAGTTGGGCTTCAGCCAATGAAGGCGTAAGTATACGGAGGCTGTGCTCCTGGTAAACCCTGATTCGGGTGTTGCCCAACCAGAAGATGAATCTTTGGTCTCAGTTGAAATTGGTGCGCCCCCGAGAAGGATATAGTACCACCTACCTGCCGTTCATAAGGATTGTCGGTGACGGATTTCTCTCCCCCCCTTCATCAAAGTCTTCCCCTGCGTGAAAATCCGACCCTCTGGAGCATCTTTACTTGCTTCACGATGCTGAAGAAAGCGCCTCGAATCCCGGAAGAGATATGGAATCGACACAAAGAAGAAATCATTGCTTCTTATTCATCGAGAACGTTAGATCAAATGATGAGACATATGATGGAGGAACATGGCTTTGAAGCTAGGTATAGAGTTGACTTTCCTCGGGCCGAGCCTTCTTAAAGTTGACTCGACATGCTGACACTGTCGCGTGGCTGCTTCTAGTAAGAACCAATATGTTGGGAAATTGAAACTCTGGAAAAAAAGAAAGTATAACACCAGAAGAAACCGGGTCTTTGATCAGCCAAAGGAGCAAAAGCGAAGACAAGAGGACAAAGACAGTGACCTTCATATTTATGAATATACACGTGAAGAAACCGAGATTGAGTTTGCACGACCCGTTCATCCAGGTCACGAGTGGTGTGACAACTACATCACGATCTGCATACCCCAGTTAGAGCAAACTCACCTATCGAGCATGTATCACGCTGTCCTCCTTCACAATCTTCCTTGGTTCAGCTTTATCCAGAAGATACAGAACCTCAGTGGGTGTCTAATTGCTATTCTTGATGTCTTTTCTTACACCCTATACCTTCATATCCTAATCATGCACGGCTCTGTTCTTGTATGGTTCACCACGAGCTTTCTCACCCTTCCTTGAATTGGCAAAGTTGGAAAAAACTAATCAGTTGCTTTCATCTCCGTAGACAGTCAGATGCCTATGGCCCCACCAACCTCTAGTACCTCCGTGGATAGTGCCCTGAGGGACCTGGCCAGTCGGTTCGGTAGCGGCGTACCACGATTAAAAATTGAAAAGTTCTTCCACCACAAGGTCAGCATCGACCACAATATGTTTCTTCCACCTGAAGAACCGTATGCCGGACATTCCTCGACCTTGAAACCAAAAGCACTGCGGGGGAACTCTTCTTCTTCCATCCTCAAGCTCTTCCTACAGCACTTTGTTTTTCTGTCCGCCAACAATTTACTCAGCCAATCGCAAATCCACAACATTGTTGAATACATTGTCGAGAAAGGCGGCACGATCATCCTCTTATTCATCTGTCGTCTTCGGTCCCCGTTGATAGCGGTGTTCGCAAGGAAGGTTTTCCACAATGCTCTCCTGTCTGGAAATATATATCTTAGTCGGAAGTTCATACAATGCGGTTTCTGGCTACAGACTGATACTCCCTCTTGGCACCAAAATTGGACCGAGTATCTATGCGAAGCGGTATACAGTGGAAACGAAGCTATGGTTGAGCTACTCTGCAGGGCCGGGGTTCGCCCTGAAATCAAATTCAGTTCTAGAAGGCCTAATTACTGGGACTTGAAAGTTCAGGTCCTACCAACATTGCTCGCCTTTGGTGCCGACCCAGAAAAATACATCAAAGATCGAGAGACTGGATTCCCTTTGATTGATGCAGCGCGTAGCGGCAGCCTCAAGGCCGTGAAACTGCTTCAGAGTAAGGGTGCTCGGGTTAATCTTTACCTTGCCCGGTATTGCGGAACAGCTTTGCAAGCGGCAGCTTCCCGAGGCCACTTAGAGGTGGCTGAGTATCTCGTTCAACATGGAGCGGACATTAATGTTCCTTGTGTTCAGCAAATCCAGTTTCCGGGTTACTACGCTGATGAGGTGATGATATCTCTTCTAACGCCGGTTCAGATTGCTGCAATGGTGGACAACGTGAGTTTTCTTCGATACTTGCTCCAACACGGAGCTTCTGCGATGGCTTTCCCGGCATCGGCTGTTAGCCCTCAAAGGGATCTACGGATACACAACCCTCAATCTACCAGCAAAATATTGGTGTATACTGCCTTGCAATATGGAGTCATAAATCAGAATACGGAGATCATCTTGCTTTTGTTAAACGCAGGAGCTTCTCCAGACTCTCGTGCTGCACTCCACTTAGGTGACACACCTTTACAAATGGCCGCAAGATTAGGAAATGTCAAGATATATCGACTGCTCTGCAGCTGGGGTGCTGATATAAACGCACCACCTGCGGTGTACAATGGCCGCACTGCACTGCAAGGAGCAGCAGAGAGCGGAAACCTGGTGATCCTAAGGATGCTTTTAGAGGCCGACGCGCAGATAAATGCACCAGCAGGAGCGGAAAAAGGATTGACTGCCTTGCAGGCCGCCTGCTTGAATGGTCACTATTTGATGACCAGGATTCTACTCGATAAAGGGGCGAATTTGAACGGAGATCCATCGCCCGCGGGGGGTTTGACACCTATCCAGGCAGCAGCGTCTTACGGCGACATAAGACTTGTGAGATACCTGATCACTCTGGGAGCAGAGGTTGGCGCTCCACCAGCCAAGGATGGCATGACCGCTCTTTCAGCCGCTGCCAAGCATAAGTCACTGCCATTACTGGAGCTCCTAGTACAGCATGGCGCGGATGTTAACGCAACCGAAGAGTATGGTATTCCGCCACCTCTTGCAGTGGCAGCGAGACAAGGCTGGCTCGAAGGGATGCGGTTTCTTCTGGACCGTGGTGCGAAGATTTACTACAGCTCACAAGTCCCAATAGCGCAAGGTGGAATTATAAAGTATCAGTTAGTGCGAAATATAAGCCTTCTTGACTGGGCTATCCTATGCAGGTTCGAGGAGATGATAAAGTTATTGTTGCAATATGGCGCCAATGATGTTGCACCTCCTGTGATACGCCAATCCTCTTACCAAAGCCTGCTATGGCTTGCATTACGCGAAAGATTGAGCTTTGACGTTATTGATTTGCTTCTAGCCAAAGTTCCCGACTTTCACAAGCATCCTGGGTGGGCTGACACGCTGAAGGTGAATTTAGAGTCTACCTCGAAAATTGACATAGCTTACTGTCGGCAAATACTGGAAAAACTAAATATGGTTCTGCCATCGCTGCGCCACAGAGCAATCCGAAGGGCATGGGATCAACTGCCTGGGAACCCGTTTTTTTGTTTTTCTGAGAAGGAAAAGAAGTTGAAGGACGCCATTGACTTTCTTTTAGAGTCAGGCGCAAATCCAGACTCTTGCGCAGAAGATGGAAGCACTATGCTTCAGCGCGTAGCCCACTGTGGTTATGAGGAGCCCTGTATTCTTCTTATCAATCATGGTGCCGCCGTTAACATCCACGCAACCAAATCATACGGAACACCCCTTCAAGAGGTTATCAGATGGCACAATTTTAACTTAGCCATTTTATTACTGAACCGAGGTGCGGACGTCAATGCTCTTCCGACACTGATAGGAGGGGCTACTGCTCTCCAGGAGGCTGCCAGAAGTGGGATGTTGAAGCTGGCCGTACGGCTTCTTGAACGTGGAGCAGATGTTACTGCACCAGCTGCGCCAATAGAGGGTAGAACAGCAATTGACCGCGCTGCGGAGTATGGCCATTTTGATATGGTCCAGTTGTTTCTGAATGCCTATGGGGAAGATGCAGATCTGGAGTCTATACGTCGTCAGGCAGCGGGCTTTGCAATGAAGGGAGGTCATCATGAGCTAGCCGACTGGTTACTTGGGCGTTGGTCTAGTTGATGTCTTTGTATGTGATGCGCGTCGTTCTCAATTTGGATATGTCAAAGTCAAGATTGTTTTTTACAACGTTGGCCCAGCTGATTCCTTGAATTAAACTCAAGACATCTGATAACATCCGCCTATATAGACCTGAACCTGATACAAAAAGAGCCCTGAAGCCATACAGTCCGAACCGTTGGCGAGGTTATCCACCCCACCCCATAGTCTTCATTGGTACGGAAGCCTATAGCGCGCATCCGACCACAACGCAAACATGACCCTAGCATTACCCTACTTCTGTGACGTATTCATACAAGCATTAAAATATCATCATTGACCTACTTTCCTCTAACACCTAAGCATCTCTACTCATCCGTCGAAAATGCACTGGTTCGCACTGTTGAGGAGCATGGCCACCAACCCCAGCACCCTCCTTGCCATTCTATCAAAGTGATATCTCGTCCCAGAGCCCTACCAATCAGACACCAACTAACAAGAAACCAATCTAGTCTCCGAAATGGGATATACTCCGACTTCGAGATAAAATGCCACCCATCGACCTTCAAAGTCCATCGATGTATCATCTGCCCGCAGTCGCCAATTTTTAAAAAGGCCCTGTGTGGGACGTTTCAGGTGAGTCTATGGGATATGCCAGTATGAGTCTAAGAAGTTACAGGAGGCGAAAACAAGAGTCGTTACTACCCACGACGATCCCACGATCATCAGTAAGATGATCGACTATTTCTATCGTGGAGACTACGATGATACACCGGACAAGGAACACCCTGTCACTAATCCCGAATATGAGCCTCCGACTACCAAAGCGCATGTTAGTATCGCAATGTACAACGTTGCTGATAAATACGCCGTCGAGCCCCTAATGGTCCTTGCGAAGAAGAAGCTAGAACACAGACTTACACTAGTTAGGGACAATAAGGAATTCATCCGAACTATCGAGAAAGTCTACGGACCGGATAGTCCACAGAACTCCAAGCTGCGGGATACAGTAGCAAGTTTCGCCGTGGAGCATCTTGATACACTGAATGGGGTTTCAGAATTTCACGAGACACGCAAGGAATACCCACTATTTTCATACGACTTCTCGACATTATTGATAGATAAAATAGCTCATGTGGAGGGGAAATTACGGTATGTGATCAGATCAATTAAATCAACTTAAAAAAAAAGGGGGGGGGGGGTGCATTGCATTGTGGCTTACGCTTATGGAGACAGGATCATGGCAAGGTTGGATATAGAGACTTTCCCATCTGGAGTCGCCTCAAGTATACGTGAAATCTGTAACACTTATCGCGAGAGGATTTGTCTAGACTGCTGTCGCTTTTTTATAGATAAGGCGAGTTTGAGGCGGCATGACACGATGAAGCATTTTTGGTGTACGGATTGCAAGAGGTCGTTCGGGTCGCGAGGCGAGGCGCAGAGTCATCGGACGCAGGCTCATAATGGGTATTGAGCATGCCCTAGATTCTTCTTTTGTTTATTTGTTTGTTTTTTTTCTTTTTTTTCTTTTCTTTTGCAGTTTATGTTTATGAAGTGTGTTTGCAGCTCTCATCATTAAGATTAACCTACTCTGACCCTGTGAACTGGATGATAGATAGAGCATAACTTCTCTCTCCAAACAACATTCCCACTGTCTTTGTACATACACAAAAACGTAGTACATAATACTAAGCCCAATAGTAGATTGTATAGTAAGCCCCAACCAACCAAGAACCTAAACCAAACTTTCAACATACAGACTCATATGATCTGAAAGCCACGAATTCGTCAGGTCCCGAATTTAACGACGACAGGTATCAGTGTTCCCCTTCCCATTGTTCTGACAACCATCGTAACAACGTTCAACAACAGTGAGTGAATGATCATCGTTGCAATGGAACAAGAACCAACGCCAACCAGTTCGATTACGGACGTCTGGTACATCACCGAATCGTCTCAATGCGTCCATTATGGCCGCATCGTTGTCGCCTTTTTGCATATCAGTATAAGTACTCCACGAGCAGCCTTTATGTATGTAAATGAGTGGATTTTAGCTCACCGACGCCATCGAGCACCCCGTCGCAGTAATTAAAGCCAGGTGTGCAGTACCCAGTCACGGCGGCATTTGCGGTGGCGATGAGTGCGAAGGCACCGAGTGCAGTGGTGAATCTCATCTTGATGGTAGGGTTCAAAGCAGGCCGAAGGAGATGAAATAGAGTTGATTGATAGTAATAGAATGTAGATAAGCTACTTAGTTCAGAGGCTGGACTTTGGTGGACAAAGAAGAGGAGTCCTGGTGAAGCAGGAAGGGTGTATTTATATCTTCGATCATTGAGAGCGTACTGCTGTTCCCTTGATCGATGCTCCCATTGATATCTCGTACTAGCTGCACGATGACAATACGAGCACAACTCCGCCTTTAGTAGATCTTTGTGAAACAATCTGAATCCGGTCAATAGATGCGTTAAGACAAGGTTGTTAGGCATAAGGCAGTCAATAGTTCAGTATTTCTTTTGGTGGCAATGTGTCACATGACGGTAAATGCCCCCAATCGTCGCTGCAACTCTACAGCACCGTTCCATCAGGGCTGAGGAGTTGCGTTCATATGTGCCTCCGATGCTTCCGACCTGCTTGGGCAAACTCCGTGACTGTCTTTAGTTCACAGAAGTGATGTTACTGACGTATGGAACCAGCATGAAGCCTGCGGGGTCATCGGCCCCTCTCAGCCTTGACCGACAGTATGTTGTGACACGATGCATATTAGCCAACTACTAGTCCCCACTGTGCCCTATCTTCTACTCCAGGGTATTCAGCCCCGAGTTACTCCGAAATTCCAAGTTTCGCTCAATCGATCCTTTCAATCCTCTTCGTCCTATAGTCTTGCAGGCCTGCAATGGGTGATGGTCTGCTTTGCTCGAGTGCACGTCTGACTCATCATTGCAACCTGATATCTCCTCCCATGTGAGTTGTGCTAGTTGATGCAAGCTTGTTTATTCAGAAAGACCTTGCTCTCTCGATTGTCAGATGTCCCACAGTGACTTGCCTAGGCTCTTCATCAAAGTGATCCAATATATAGCGCTTCCAAACACAGCAGTCCTTTTGCTAGGACTGGCTGTTCTCCAGGATATGGAAGGGTCCGGCAGCAGCAGCCTGAGATAAGGTTTTGATGCACGATTGTACTAAGATTAGAAATATTAGAACTAGTTACTGCACGTTAATCTTTGCAACATACTAATCTCCAGAATCTTGCGTGATATCAAGCTTCCTGACCAGCGCCTGCGTACTCAGCATCTCCCTAGCTAATTTTGTCCCCAGGTATCCAAAACCATCAGAGAAGCATAGAACATGATAAAATCAAAGCAATAAGAACGATCTTCCCAGACCAAATTGAAGAACAGCCAACCTTACTTCCGATCTCGACTCCCCTCCTCGGTAGCAGCAGGGATATCCAACAACGGAATAGTCCCATCCTCCTTCTGCCCCGGCAGAGTAGCCTTACGCACACCCACCTGCTGAATCCAAGCCTTGGTAGACGCAAGGACACCGGCTTGATCTGGATGAAGCCCAGTTCCAAGAATTCTACCCGGCGAGGTACGAGCAAGATAAGACCGCATCTGTCCCAGACCCGTACGGCGTGAAATAAGGAGACAGACAGTGAAACCCGCGAGTGCAAGAGAAAGAGCAAGAACAATAAACGCCGGAATGGCATACGGAACGTGATATTTGATATTCCTTGACCACAGTGTCACCGGAACGCTTACCCCACCTACATCTCGCTTCGCCAATTTCCTATTCTTGGAAGTCTGACCTGGAGCGTTATGCCATCCACGCGTCCCGACAATGGTATTAGCGCTCATATCGGTCCATATAAGCCCGAGCATTTTCTTGACGCCACTGGCGGAGGAAGACAGTTCATACCAGCGGTTGTATAGAGCTAGGTCACCGGATCCTGTGTATCGAGAGGTTGCTTCGTCGAGAGTGGTGATGTCGAACAGGGAGAGGAGTCGCTGTGTGTAGAATAGATTTCCGGGCATGCTTGGCTCACCGGCTAAGGTGTCAGATGTGAGGAGGTCCGTGTAGCCGGGCAGCCAGAGGTAGTCTCTTTGCACGGTGGAGATGTCGTCGCGAGCACCGACTTCGGGTGAGACGAGGCCCCATAAAGGGCGCACATTTAGCATGGTGTGGTTCGTCAGTCGCTCGACGCCCCAGAGGGGGAGCTCGGAAGGGTCTTTGTATTTCTTTTCGTTGATGCTTTGGATGACTAGTTTGTCTAGGCCCCCGGTACCGTTGAATCGGAAAGTGACCTCGCGAACAGCAGCCTTGGTCGCCGCTGCGCAGGAATAGAGCGGGGTGCTCCAGGTGCTGTTTGTGTCTGGGATGAGCGGGTCACCGTCGAGTCTCCGAGGAGCGGCGAAGATAGTACCGCAGGCTATGCCGACGAATGACATGTTTGATAGAGCCGTATCGGAAGGGTAATGACAGGCTTCACTGCCGATGGCGTAGACATCATAGGTGCTGAGGTTTAGTGGATTCTTGGACTGAGGGATCGAATAGTTGGTTCCCAAGTTAAAGCCGTCTTGAAGGTCAAGAAAACTACCGTACCCGGAGTCCGTTTGGACAGTCATCGGCTCGACGAAGTTAGTCGAAATGTTTGCCAGACTGAACCTCTTTCCCAGCTCTGAGTGCATGTACTCGAATGGTACGCGTCCGTCTGATCCGTTGGTCGTCACGTTGAAGTACTGCATTATGAGCATGTTGTGTCTCCATGCGGCATTGTAGGCACGTTCGTACAGTGCAGCATTCTCCTGGAAATTGGAAGCATTAATATCGTATCTTTCATGAGGTAGGTTGACGAAGCCACCGCGGTCGACAAGAGCTAAGTTTCGAAGATCGGTGTTATACATGTTGTCGGTACTGAAGCTGCTAAATTGTGCCTGGGGATCGTAGTTGTAATCCACTGTCAGATTAGTGTTGACACAACGGCTTTCGGGTTCTATGAACAGGATATCCTCTGTCCACTCAGCCCCCATGGGCAGGTTTGCAGGAATAGTATGATTGCGGAAACCGATCCGCCCAGCCTTGCTATCCACGATTAAACCCTCAACAGCCAACAAGTCCTCATCCAAGATCAGCTGGGAAATCTGTCGATAATATCCCTGAGAGAATACACTCCCTGTAGGGCTAGCGCCTGGTACTATTTGCGTTGAGGAACGAAACGACCGCCACTGGACATCGAACACGCTGGAGACTGTCGCTGACACGTTTCCGCTCGTAAACAGGCTGATACTGCTAGGCCAGACGGAATAGGCTTCAGTGATGTCGTCCATGTCCTCCCGATTTGGTGGTGCGCCGGGACAGCCCTCTGGGGTGTCGGGATCCTCATCTGCATAACACATGCGAAGCGATTTATATCCATCCCTACTAGGTGTTGCTTTTCCGAAGGCTGATGTATCAGGCGCGTAGTGGAAGAGAACGTCTGTGGGGCTGTCTTGGGGACCGATTGTGTCGTAGAGACCAAGAGGAGTGACGATTCCGGTAATTGATACAAGTACAGCTGCGATCAACTGAAGCCAGGAATAGGTGAGAATTCTCTTGCTGACGCCTGTGCTGGCGGCGGTATCTGAGTCGAGTATTGTGGGCCAATATGATGAGTGAAGCAGGCGGCTAACGACTGACCTATAGCTTTATCAGTGATATTCGATTTATGAAAAAGCCTGTGAGAGGAATCAATACCAAGAGACGATCGAATTTTCAGCGGGCAGATGGCCAATGACTAGGAGACATATGACTGTTGGAATGAAGAGACGGACTGGAAGCAGTTAGCTTATGTTAATCTTCAGGACTGAGTCACCTACCCAGAAACACGCCAGCGGCAATGATACCAGAAACATATCCCACTGTGAGTTCCGCCATATTTTAGGGGATTGTTGTTAGTACCCCCCGTTTGTGCTGATCAAAACTGCAGCAGTTAGAGATATCCTGACAAAAACTTTATAAACTCCCGTGATGGGAGAAGAATCCCCTATCTTCGATATAAGGCTAAATTTTCAGCTCAGGGTCTATATATCTGTCATGCCAAGACGAAGCCATACTAAATCTCCTCTGATCGGCACGAATACGAGACCGCTGAGCCGTGTGTGGGAATGCTTCCGCACCAATAGAAATCGAAAACGATTGTCGATTTGAAGGCAGACAGGCTAAAGTGATGATCGCGCGATCAAGCGAGAGCATAAAGTGTCGGAAATGCCAATTTGCAAGTCTCGGCAATCCCTTTGACCCCTCCATACGAGCCACATCACGAACATTGCTCGACTTTATCTTCGTAAATAGGCGGACATGTGTTGATCCTCATTCAAGCGAGGTCGGATCGAGAAATTTCACTATATATCACGAGGACATCCACATATGCGGCTCTGCAATGAGATGCCACCCCCATCCTTGGAATGAAAGTACGGAAGGGAGTGCTCCAGCACTAGGGCCGGCTTTTGCGTCTCTTGAAGGGTACCCAAGTAGCTTAGAGCAGATATACCGCTTCATGCTGTCGAAAAATAACGACATCCTGTGGCTTACGTACTGGCTCGCCTGCATCAAGCCAGAATATGTGAAGGCTAGCCTGCTAGTGAGGCTTGTCATGATGCTCACGCTTCTGCTCCTCACAGTCGTCAGGCGGTGATCAGTGTAGCTCTGTATATGCATTATCTGTACTGTAGTTAGCTCATTGCAAAAGGGGAAACACACTCCTAATTGAAACTTCACCTTTCTGAAGACTCCAGAGACCATTAATTGCCGCCTTTATTTGACCCAGTTCATCACGCAGGTCTTTGACTAGGACGCAAAACCGTTAGCAAAGTCCCAAGTAACCTTAATAAAAGCGTCCCACTTACTCAGACCTGTCACATGCAAAATCTCCGACTGCTGCGGCGCCTCTTCCGGTGGGATTTGCAAAATCAAAGCCTTTGCATAGCTGCAAGCAGCAGCAATAGCACGCGGCCGCCACTCGTCATTCTTCCTCGAGTCCGCATAATCACTAATACCTCTAACAACCAGACAAGGCAAGGTATTTATAACTCCCGCGGCTTCCATCTCAAAACACAAGATCGAGTTCCCAAACCGGTGATTAATTGTATCTCTCGTCACACCATCCCCAACAACGGTATTTCCTGAGGCAATCGTGCCCAGATGCACAACAGGCAGCATGTCCTTCCTTTTCTTCCTGTACATTTGACCACAGTTGAAATCACAAGCCTCACATTTTTCTCTCCAAAAATGATGTGAATACCTCGAGCAGAACAATCTATCTTCAAGATGCACCGGATACTCAAACTCCTCCCCAAGAAGCTCCAACTGCTCCCAGAAGCAGTTCCCGGCAACCCTAGGACTCCTCATGAGGATACCCAGCAACGTCACATAAGATAGCAACTTCTCCGGCGGTGAGTTCAGTGGTCCTTGAAATACACCCTCGTCGGCCAGGTCATATTGTACAACACCCCCATACTCACCACCTGGGACACTAACCACTACGTCTCCCAAGCGAACATCTTTTCCGGACCCACCACCAGGAACACCACCCCCAATACCAACAAGAAACCCATACTTCACCGACTGGAACGTCTGACACAAGTTCTCCGCTACGATTGCGGCGGCAGTTGTCCCCATCCGTCCTGCAGGGAGACAAACCAGAACGACGTTATGCGCGCCTATCTTGCCTAGTAGATAGGCATTCTTGTCTTCGAGTCGCTGGTTCTGCGGTATTCCATGGATTTCGTCAAGGATGGCGATCGCGACGTCATATTCTTCGGGGAGCGCGCAGATCCAGGCGAGGGTGTAGGAGGTGTTGGGGTGCGGGGAGATCATTTTTTTTTTTTTTCATTCAGTAGTGCCTTATTTCAGATAATGGTCTTGGAGTAGTGATTTTAGTTTTGAGTGATAGAAAATTGGAAGGAGATGGGCCGGTGCTGTGCTGGATTTGTTGGGTAGCTTGTCATCAGGCTACGTCTTTAATGCCTCTATAGGCGCTGAGAGGCTGAGAGGGGTTCGCATGTTAAATGACTGCACCCTAGAGTCGCGTAGGGGTAGCTTGTTAGTAGGATTCGGTAATAGCTGGGCGCGTATCTTTTGGCTATCATTTCTCATGTGTCGTGTGTCGTGTTTCACAAGGTGGATGTCTGAAACTGGCTGGCGCTAAGGAGATACGTCGACAGCGGATATTGTAGAAGCTTCGCAAAGGACGTTGTAGTCTGGATATTCATCTATGAATAGCACTAGCACTAATAGTTCGAGAAAACCGGATTCTGAAATGGGAATTCAACTTGCGATCTCGTTCTCGGTGGTGATCAGAATAAATGAGTATCACTCTTGTACTGCATGGTTAGCGACAAAACTGATCATTGCTGAAGGGGAAGTCATTTCCGTTTCTCAGCCTACTCTCTTATGAAGGTGATTGAGTCGGGAACGACGGGTCAGAAGATCGACTCGAACTTGAAACTTTTTTTTTCCCCTCCCAAACCTTCAATCGAACTAGCGTGCTGTAGGACTCCGATGTCATGGCTTAGTGTAGTATCATTATTAACCCAGTACATATTATATAATTCTATCTGTTTGTGGGAACTCCAGCTTTGAGGTTCATGGGGGTTCGGTCGCTGGCGCTGACCTGAACCGCCAAGTTTTGTATGATCCACTGCAATGTGATTCCCGAAACATCTATGCATCGAGCATCCTACAAAGCTGGCGCCCCATCCAGCTTGAAATAACCCGGCTGCAGGTTCTGGAACACCTGCAAAGGGTCGTACTTCTTCGAGATCGCCTGCAAGCGAGCCTGGTTTGCCGTGCCGTAAGAGGGCACGACGGACTGGTACTGACTCGCGTAGTTCATGTAAAGATAGCGACTTCCGAGTCCGCGAGCCTTCGCTGCTGAAAGCGCCTTTTGAGTGACTCTGCCCAGAACAGCCATGACTGCGGCGTCATCAGCCTCATCATCCCACATGAAAGCAAGGTTGATCAGCAGCAAGGGTCCGTCTTCCGGATCGAGTCCTAGCGCGTTACCCCCATTCTTGGCCATGTGCTCCATGGTGTTAGTGCTGATAACTTGCCAAACGAGAGCGGGGACAAGGCCGGTCACGTTCTGAATAGGAACGAGTTCCTGCTTGAACATGTTGGTGATGTTGGTCGCCAGCTCATAGTCAAGCTGGACGGTGCCTGTCCAATAGCTCTCGCGCAGTCCGTTGGGATTGGATTCCTTGAACAGAAGTGTGATGTTGGAAAGACTGCGAATGGCCATGGTATCCTCGAGGACTCCCGAGCTGCTGAAGTTTCCAAAGATAGGAGGATTGGCCACCGGTTTTGCGTACTCCAAGTCTGCGACCAGCAGGTAGAGACCCTCAGCGTAGGCCACCGACACGATCAGTGCCCCGTTGGGGTCCGACGGCGAATTGAACCCAAAGTCCACAAGCGCATGGAGAATGTCGGATTGATACTCTTCCAGCCAAATGCGTGAGCCTCCCCACATGAGGCCCTGAGTGTGTGTTGTCAGGTCGAAGCGGGTAACGATGCCAAAGTTATTGCCACCACCACGCAGGGCCCAGTAAAGATCGGGATGAGTGTCAAGGTTAACATCGACAATGCTACCGTCGGCCAGAACAACCTAGACCAATCTTGTCAGATACAGAAGCAGTATTGATAAGCAATATAGATCGATATACCTCGTAATTGGCAACATTGTCACAGGCCCAACCGTGAAAACCGGAGAAGAAGGAGATACCTCCTGGATACCTTGTTAGCTTACATTCTCCTTGCCTCTTGGTTGATCTGTCACATACCTCCCAGCGTCAGGCCGCCCACGCCAATGTCGGACACACGACCACCAATGACCGATAAGCCCATGGGATCTAGCCAATCATAGACATCCAACCAGCGGTTACCCGCACCGACAGACGCAATAGTGGAATTCCTGGACAAGGCCGTAGAGTTCAGCCCGACCAGATCTATCGTCAAGCCATCCTGGATGTTGGAGGCGCCGGCAAAAGCGGCATGGCCGCCACTCTTGACAGCAAATGGACACAGCGTCAGCTCTGACAGCAGCAGGCCGACAGCGACTTCCACTGCACTGGCTGGCTGGAAAACGCAGGCTGGATCGACATCCTCCTGCTGCTGCGACCAGAAGCTGGCATCCCAAGTCGAGTAAGCCGTAGTCGAGCGTTGCAACACGTGGCCAGGATAGAGCCGGGGAAGCGCGGAACACTGGCCGGATTAGTGAAATTGTCAATTTGGTGCTTATGCGTTAGCCCGACGACTAGACAGGGTTCGGGTGCCATCGTCCGGTTTTAGCACGCAGGAAGACGGGAAGTAACTCACCAGCTCGGAGCAAAATCCCAACGACCGCGTGCTCAATGATGAGTCCAGCAGCACGCTGGAGTTGAAATACTCGTAGGCATCAACTCCGTAGGATGCCAATTTAGCGACAATGCGACTGGTAGTGTTGTCCAGCGCTGTCACTCTCGCCAGAAGCGTAGCGATGAACAGCGCGCCGGGCCGCATGGTGCTTGGCAGGAACAGGATGAAGATAAGGGTTGGAGCAGGAGTCGTAGAGGTTTCAGGAGGCGTTGACTTACTGCAGGGGGCTCATTCCTTTATAGGCCACTTTGGTGGCTTCCCCAAAACAAGGCGCTATACCGCCGGTTCTTCCTTAGCGGCCGTCCGGCTCGCTTGATGACAGATGACATCCAGGTTAGCCGTATCCGTGAAATTAACACTTGTTAATGCATCCTGTTGCCCGCCGCAGGATGCTTACCACCCAGGATGTCGGCAGAATATGAAAAGGGATGTCTGCCGTCAAACGACTTAGACATCGCTGGCGATCGCTCCACCAGTCCGGATGGAAAGAAATTATGTCTCAGCTAGCCAGGTACAGGCCACTGGCTATACCATGATCGCCTTGTCGTCGGCGGTGGTCATTGCTCGGTTTAGTCTGATCTTCTGGAAATTACGGTCGCTGCAGGTCGAGGATGGCTGCATTCTGCTGTCGTGGGCCTGCTTCCTGGCCATGAGCATTGCGTACATTATCGTCACCCCGGTTGTGTACAAAATCGATGCGTATACGGATGGCAAGATCGGTCCTTGGGCGACTATGCTGTCCGACGCCCTTTTCATGATCAAGGTCTTTTTTGCGAACACCATGCTATTATGGGGGTCGCTGTGGTCCGTCAAGCTATACTTTCTCTTCCTCTATCGCCGACTTCTCCAGGACCTGCCGGGTGAGATGAAGTGGTGGTATGCGGTACTGTGTTTCTGCATCGTGGTGCGTCCATGATTCGACCTATTGCGGGAAATGTTCAGCTGACAGTTGTGTAGACCTTTATCGGGGCAATTGTATCTAATTTTACCTCTTGTCAAAGTATGCATGCATGGTTCACCGTTGGTCAGTGCTCCGTGTCCCCTGCATGTGTGGATACTGACAAGTGCGAAGGGGAGTGCAGTACACATCGAGACGCCGTGGCAGAGATTGCCAGTCTGTATTATAGTTTTGCGGTCGATGCAATCAGTGATATAATGAGTAAGTTTCTGTTTCGAGGTATGATGAAGATGCATTGCTAAAGTGAATAAGTCATGGTGCTGCCGTTGCGACTGGTAGTGTCGCTGCGCCTTCCACTGGGCCAGAAGATCAGTGTTGCAGCCGTGTTTGCCTTGGGCACCATCTGCGTGATCATGGCGGTTGTACGAGTCATCCAAATTGGCACTCGAGCCAACAACGACAGCACCCCAAGCAGTTCCTGGCTGGCATTCTGGGGTATGATCGAGGCGGGAATAGGTATGATCTTACTCTTATTCTCTCTGCTATGCTAACCTTCATTGCTAGCTGTCATTGTCGGCTGTCTTCCAGCTTTCGCGATCATTTACCGCCGCACCAAGAACCCACATCGCTACCGGAGCAGCTATGTCGGTATGTCCTCGTCAGTTTACGTGCCACAGGAAGATGTCGCCTTGTCGGAGCTTGCTACACGTGGAGAGAATACTGGCACGGGCGAGACAGGCTTGAAAGCATTCAACACTACGCCGGAATTACCGATGGAATTATCTGGCGAGGAGTGAGGTGCTCAACAATTGACAGTGATGTTTATGTGGTTACGAGAAAAAGTTATGCTTTAACATCCAATGATCAACGCTTCAAAACTACATTGCATGTCTGAGCGGCTACTGATTATTAATTCTAAGAAGGACGCCTGACAGCTAGTAAGCACTACTGCACCTAGCGTTGATAGCGACAAGATCGATAAATGACACTTCCAGGCACAACACAACATAAATAGCATGACCCCTCTTCGAACAAAGCACTTTACCTTTTTCATTTCCTCTTACCCCCTCCATACATCTCCACACCAACCTCACCACCATCATGTCCCCAATCCCCAGCTACTCCCGCCCCGGCCGCGGCCAACACTTCCAAGAAGCCTACGGCTTCGCCGAAGCCTGCATAGCCGGAGACCGAATGGAAATAGCCGGCCAGAGTGAGCCCCTTCCCCCAGCCTCATTCCTCTCATCACCAACTAATCCCTCGGGATATAGCCGGCATGTCCCCCACATCCACCGAAGTGCCCCCCACACTCGAAGAAGAAGTCGCCCAAGCATTCACCAACATCAACGAAGTCATCCTCTACACACTAGAAAAAGCCAAGCCCGATCTACATGCTAGCGTGAAAACCGGCTGGGACCGCGTCGTGAAGATCCGCACGTACCATGTCCAGTTGCCCCAGACTCGAGAGAAGATTATCAACCTGATGGTGGAGAATGTGAAGAAGTGGTGTCCCGATCATCAGCCTACTTGGACTATGTTGGGGATTGAGGCGTTGCCGTTTGAAGGGCAGAATTTGGAGATTGAGGTGGATGTTTTTTTGGGGTGAAGAAGAGTTGGAGAGGGGGGTGGGGGGTGGGTATATAGGCTGTGGAGGTATATCTTGTGAGAACTTGTGGGTTCAATATGTATAGATGCAGTAGACTGGTTTATTCCCAAAATACCGTCTTACTTACACGTTTCCCGATTAGTTGACCTTATGCATTCTCGATCAACACCTTGAACCGTTCGGAACCTCTTTCCGAAGTACCCGTAAATTCCCGATTCTGAACCTATCATTATTTTCGAACGCAGTTGACACTTTGTGCACCTGAACGCCTCAAGTTTGGGAACCCACGAATCTCTTTAAACTTCGGTAGAACATTTATACGTCAAATCAGCGCAGGATGGTGGTTCAAGGAACCAGGGCAAGGTGGAGTTGTATGTTTCTTGTAGAATAGTCTGTCTGTTGAATAAGTGCAAGATATCTCTACACACATAGTTAACGGAACATACGTCGTCGGCCACAAATAAGCACCAGGAGCACTTTCTAAGCTTATGACTCCGGCTGCTACCAAAGGAACTACATCAGTTCATTGCACGAATACTATTCAGAGTACTATCCGACCAGACTCCACCTATCCTAGCATCCGAGTCAGACTTGCTTTTCTAGTGAAAGACGCCATCACGTAGAATACAATATCCACGAAAGAGAGCTGAACGAAATAATTAACCGTAAATTTGAAGCATCAAAAGGAACCAGAACCAGGTCCGTAAGTAAAAGAAACCGCTTTCATATGTCAACAAACACGCACATCAATCACCAGGCACAGAAGCCAATCATTAAAGGTGATCACATGGTGTACTCATGGATCGCAGAAGGACCATTCTCGTTGTACTCCACTCGGCTCATGAAGCCCTTGCTGACGCCTTGGTCGATCACGAAAACAACCTTCGATGCAACCTGTGCTCCGAGGAACACGGCTTCCTCCATGCCATGGCCGCCGCTTGGGGCACCAGGCCCTCCCGTGGTAGCAGCGCCAGGGGCATTGGTGTTGCTCTGCTCCTTCCACTCGGGGAAGTATTCCGGGGGTCTCAAAGTCTTGACCGATGTGGGGGTTTGAGAGTGTCCCGTCGAGCGGTGATGCGACATGGCAGGGTCCATGGAGGGAGTGCCGGGCATGGGGTTGTTGGCATGGGTGGCTGCGACAAGCAGAGGATTCACACCGTGACCCGCAGGGTGATTCATCGGACCAGCCTGGCCGGAAGGTGCCGGAGTGTTGGTTCCTCCGGTGGGAAGGGGAGTAGAGAAGTTGGAGGGGATTTCGGAGGTGAACATAGTGGCGGATGGGGAGAGAATGTACTTCTGTGTGATTGTGCCCAGCAGGGATTGTGTGAAGCCTATAAGTAGAAACGTCAACCTATATCCTCATAGTGGTATGGTCCGGCTACATACCCTTGATTTTGCTGCCATTGCCGACTACGATGAGGGAATCCCAAAGTTCACTCCGCTTCGTCGCATCAGGCACTGCAAGGATAGTGTGGTGAATCTGAGTCGCAATATCCTCGAGCAGGCCGCCGGTGAGACGGTCTCCAGAATTCTGCTTGGGAGTTGCGGCGAGGAAGCGCTCAACACCGACCTCGATCTCGCGAGACTGACGCATATACCGCCCGGGCCCATTGGGCGTATCCTTCTCAGGTTCTATCCTCACGTACTCCTCAAATTGGAACGAGGCCTTTTCCTTCTTGGAGTTGGGAAGACGGAGGGGCTTGCCGGATTGATCTGTCGCGCCCTTCTTGGTTGAGGCCTTCTCGGCCTTCTCTTTCTCCCGATTGGCGAGGAACTCACTCGTGTTACCACTGACAATGGCTGCGACATCCAAAACTCCCTCATCTTCGTCGGCCTCGCCGTTGCCTTCACCACCGGTCTGGGTGCCTTCACCCGGACCGCGAGGGATGTTTTCATTCGGTGCATTGCCATCCTTGGTGCCAGTTGAGGCCGAAGCGGCGGGGTTAGCGCCCTGTCGCGCGGTTGCAGCGGCACCAGGAAGGGGTGTGCCAGGGGGCAGGAGCTCAGTGATATTGCTGCGTTTCAACTGTTCGCACATCTCCCTTGTAAATCCCTTGGGGCCCAAAAGCTCCACAATCCTGTCCGTCATGTAGTCGCCACCGCAGCCTTCTAGTGCGATGCCTCTTCCATGCTCGTTAACAAGGAAGTCGGTGACGGCAGTGACATTGACCTTGTCCTTGCCAACATCAACCACCGTAGCCGTCGAGGTACCGTATCCGTAGCATACAGCGAGTGCGGAGTCCATGAGACAGAAGGCGGGCGTCTTGAACTTTTCAAAGACAAACTGTGTGATCGTCTCCCGGTCGCGGGCGGACCATGCCGGTTCGGAGATCAGCATGATCGGGGTGTGGAATGGCGGACTCAGAGTGTTGTAAACGTGAGTCAAAAGGGCAAAGAAGCATGGCCAGTCGACAATGCGACCACTCTGAATTGGATAGACAGCCCCCTCATCGGAAGTTACATCCTCCTCGTAGAAGATCTCGGTTGTCGTTCCTTGCTTCTCCTCTCCGTTGGCATCCTGGCCCTCGGTCTTTTGCGCATTTTCGGGCTGTTCGGAGGATTCATTCTCGGTCTTCACGGCTCCGTCTTGCTGCGCCGACTCCGCATCCTTCATCTCCACGTCCTCCTTGGGCGCGTCGGTGCCATTGCCATTGCTGACGGGGACTTCCTGTCGTCGCTCGCGGATCTTGTATGGTTCGTATTCGCCCTTCTTTTCGGCGGGAAACATGCGCGTAGGGAAGCGAAAGCGGGCAGGGGTGAATGACTCTGGGAGACCCAGTTGCGCCAGGGTCACTTGCGAGCCTGGCGCAATTATCTGGGGGGGAGGGGGTCAGTTTGAGTCCGCCAGCAGGGGGTAAGTCAATGACTGGTGCACTAGGAAAAATCTGCACGTACCAAGATATGCTCATCTTTGAAGGGCGGCATCCTGGACAGTCGGAGGGTGAGGAGAGCTGGAACTGTCGCAGTAGCAACCTATTGCTCCGCGGTGTTTGCACCAGCGATCTTTGCGCGCTCGAGGTTGGGCGGATGGCCTAATCGGGTTTAGTGCGCCGCGGTCGCGGCCCGTGCTTTGACCGCGGTCTGAAATCTACTGCTACACACTCATTCCTCAATGATCAACCTACGTTTCGGTTTGATAGATTCCAACGAACACTACTATATGATGTATCGCAAACATGAAGACTGAAACATGTTAATACTAAGATTTGGAGCTGTAGGGCCCGAAGACCCTCCGCCTTGTGTTGAGGTAACCTTAACCCCGTGCAGAACTCACAGCTGCAACAAAATGTCCGTCTTTGTTGACGTTCGTTATTTTACAGATAGATTGAATTATTTTAATTATCATCGATGTGTACCATCAAACCGTGCTACGGGGCTCAAAGATGAGCATACTGCCATTCCACCCTCGTAAATTGGGTTGGCCGGCGGGCGACGAGTAGCAGTAGGTCAAACTTGAACTTCAGACTGAGTTTGATATCCCTATGTCCGTGGAACTAGACAGAGATGACTGTAGAAGCTCCAACCACTCCCCGTTTGAAGGACAGGGGAAGGCCACGCAGATCAGAGCGTCAATGCAACTGGCAGAGAAAAGGCAGCAAGTGGATGGAGGGGGATACTCCGTGCAGGGGTATTAGGTGTGTACAGTTCACCTCCTTTGTCCACTAACCACCCCATCCATGCATTCTGTATCTTCACTGCCGTGATTGCCTTCTATTGAGGCGGGCATTGGTTTGTTCCAAAGCAGTCAAGCCTGAGCTCATCAACTTCATTCCGTGTCATGCTGGTATTCTTCACCAATTAATAGGAGTTGTGGAAAGCACCACCTCGATCATGGATGCTATTTGGATAGATGCCCAAGAGTGACACGTCACCAGACAGTCACCCCTGGTATGAGGACGAAAATTCCTTCAGAAAAAGCAATGTTTGTAGCTGGTGCCAATTGCCAGTGGGCGAAAGAAACAAGATAGTCTTATCGACCTACTTAGCGCGTGAACCCCGCGTGCGGCTGAGCCAGCACACAATCGATCGCGCCCGACAGCTGGGTTTAAACACCGGGACATGCCCTCACGGGGCAACTGGAGTCTAACACCTGCTATGCAATGACCAAGTTATGGTCAACGTGCGGAGAAAAGATGCATCGGTTGAAAGAAAGAATTTCACGCCGGTTGCATCGTTCTCGACAAAAAGAGCCTGCTACCGACAATCAGTCCACGTCACCAGACTGCAAGCGAAGTGACCCCATTGAATCCGCAAAGGAGCTCTCACAGAAGAGAAGTACGTCTGTGTCGAGTAAGCCGTCGATCACGAACAGGAGTCAGCATGAAGGAGCTGTGCCTCGAAGCCTTCCAGAGAAGAGAAGGTCGCTCTCAACACGCGACACCCGGGGTGAGGTCAACAGTGCTAAAGGTGATGATAAAACCCCTGATCCCAGCTTGCCCGAAATCCGGAAGAAGCCAGACAGCGACGAGGAAGTATCCGTAAATCTCTGGAGGGAAGCGTTTGCGAGGCTCCTACAGACAACACAAGATCATCTTCGTGAATTGGGTTACGAACCGAGTTCGAACACCGATCCAGGAGACCTGGATATTCTGCTCAAGGATCTCCGAAAGAAGATGAAGGTCTGCGATGAGAAAGGCTGGAAATACAAAGGTGAATTCGTACGAGACTACGCTGCCAAATGCGCGACTTGGATGAAATGGTTCGGGGATCTCGTCATTCCGTTCGCACCCTCACAGGCTGCAGGGCCGTGGGGGTTGATCAAAGCGGCTTTGGAGGTAGGTTGTGTCCACATTACACAGCTCCTTAACATAGATGTGCCTGTAATGCTTAGGCTTGAAGTTTCACACGGGGTGTCTTCAATTAATCACGGTCCACGATATTTCGAACCAGTTTCCTAACTGAAAGTGTATAGATCCCTGTAGAGTATAATAATGCAATGTTTGCCTTGCTTGGGACTGTTGAGCGGGTTCTACATGCCACATCCCGTGGCAGAGAATATGAGTCCGCCTATGCAACCGAAAACAGTGATATTGTCGACACTCTACGCGGAGACCTGATCAATGTTTACGCAGCTGTCTTGGAAATACTGAGTTACAGTATTATGATGCTAAAGCAATCGACCTGGGCTAAGATATTGGATACGATGTTTGACAAAAGCTCGGGGCGATTCTTGGATCTGACAACGAAGGAAGAAGAGCTCGCTAAGACTGCTCAGGCGTGCGGTGCAGCCACAGGTATAAAGACATCCAACGACTTGCAGGACATCCGAAAGCGCCTACCCCGCATAGAGGCCCAGGTGATAGAATCCTTGGAAGAGCTTAAAAGTAAGGAGGTTCTGAAGATCTTAGAGTGGATCTCACCAGTTAAGTATGGGGCTCATCATGATACTGTAAGCGGCAATCGGACGCCTGGGACGGGCGAGTGGCTCTTACAAAAGGATGAATTCCGAGACTGGGAAGAAAGCAGTTCTTCCGCCGTATTATGGTTGCGTGGCTCTCGTAAGTGTCTAAGCACTCTTTTCTCATCCGTATGGACTTGGCGCTGACGCCGTCAAGCGGGCACGGGAAAAACCTTCCTGACCTCGAGAGTTATCGATCATGTCAAAAGTACACTCGCAAGAGTGCCAAACGACGAAGGGTTTGCCTATTTTTACTGCTACCGGGAAGAGGACATCCGAACACGACCCCTTGCCGTAGCGCGGAGCTACGTGCGTCAATTATCTGCTAACGAAAGCAAGACCAATCCAAGTGAGACTGATTCGCTGTACATACGATCTAGGCTTAGATCCAAATATCGGGATACACGTACGCATGCATCTGATCTTGGCCTTAAAGACTGCGAGGAGTTACTGACAGAGTCCGTGAACCTCTACCCTCGTACCACATTGGTGTTGGATGCTTTCGACGAATGCGATCCTGCTTCGCGTGATGAACTCCTTCAGCTTTTCAAGAAATTGCTTTCCAGCAGTAAACGGCCAGTCAAGTTGTTCATTGCAAGCCGTCCTGACCGGGATGTTCAGCAGCAGGTTCACTCGCATCCAAACATCGAGGTTCGGGCGACCGATAACCAGCAGGACATTGAGGCCTACATCAGTCAAGAGATGCCAAGGCTGATTGAAAAGAACGGTGCATTCCGTGAACTGCGTGAAACGGTTGAGTTGACCCTGTCAGAAAAAAGCCAAGGAATGTAAGTACATCCTTCTCTTTTTCGGCAAAAGTTTCGAAGGTTGCTAATGATAATGTTAGGTTTCAATGGACCTACCTACAACTCAAACAGCTCAAAAGATGCGTGTCTTCTGAAGCTATACTGGAGTGTCTTCAGACACTTCCCAGAACTCTCGACGATACGTATAAAAAGCTCTTGGAGGAGATAGAGGAAAGTCATCCCCACGACCGAGATCTCGCGCTACGCGCTTTCAAGTGGGTTCTGGCCGCACGAGAACCGCTTCCAAGGGAAGCTCTACTCGAAGCAATCCGCATCAATCCTGACAGTATGGATACAAAGTTGTGTGCCTCAATTAGCGACGATGCATTGTTGGCATTATGCCGCAATCTTTTAGTCATCGATTCCGAGCGGGACGTATGGAGAGTATCGCATTTATCGGTCGCAGAGTATTTCGAGCTCCGTAAAAGCTGGACTATTGCAGTCACTAACCTGACGGTGGCCAAAGCGTGCTTGCTGTTTATGTTGAGCCAAGCTTGGAATGAGACCACGCACAAGCTTCCTCGCTACGAACTGAAAGAGACGCCCGAGTATTCCTGCTTTACACGAACGTTCATCTACTACGTCTCCTGTTTCTGGCCAAGACATATTGCGATCTCAGACCCTACCGGCGTGCCGACAGAGGAACTGTCTCCTGTAGTCGAGCTTCTGGAGAGGTTTCTCGGTGCGCCGCAGGTTAGCAGCGCCCAATACCGGATTTGGGCCCGGTGGTATGATAATGATAAGAGTTTAATGCCTTATGAATACTCTATCTTCGCCGTGTGCCGATTTGGATTTCACCAAGTATCGGACTCATGGTGGAATAATGGCGAGCTAAATCTAGCCAGTACTAATCACTGTGGTCGAACCTACGTGCTGCTTGCTGCAGAATATGGCCATATCCAAATTCTGCGGATCCTTCTGGCAAAAGGTGGCACTGTTGGGATACAAGGCGGACCCGACGACAAATACAAATCAACGCCACTGATCATTGCTTCCTATTATGGTTATGTTGGGATGGCCAGATTTCTGCTGAAGGACGCTAAAGCGGACGTGAATTTGCAGGTAGGCGGGGCGGGTTGGGGTATCCCATGCGCATTCGGAGCGGCCATAAGTCAAAGAAGATTGGACATGCTGCTGCTATTAATCTACGAAGGCCACGCAGAAGTGAACATGCACTTGGAATACGGTGGCAGTCCATTGGCTCTGGCAATTCGTGAAAATTGGTTGGTGGGCACGAAACTCTTGGTGGAGTATGGCGGAGCAGAAGTCGATATGGTTCTGCAATACGGACGTTACGGTAGCGCCCTGGATGCCGCTGCTAGAACCAACTCTTTGAATACATTGAAGTATTTGGTGGGAGTTCAACGGGCAAATGTGAACTTGCCCCTCCAGATTGGTGATTACGGGAGTGCATTGGCGGCTGCCGTCGTGCAAGGGAATCCAGAATGTGTCCAGTATTTGATCGAGGTCGGAAATGCTAATGTCAACGTACCACTCTCAAGAGTTTATGGTAATGTGTTGACATTGGCAGTGGAGTATTGGAGATCTATTCTCATGGGGATTCGTGCCAAGATTTGGTCGACATTGGGAAAACAACCCCCGGATACTCGTCGTTTCTGTTTTCCGCAGAGAGATATTGTCCGGGCTCTGCTTGCGGCAGGAGCCTCTGTTGTGTCAGATATTGGGGATGGGGTAATCGTGGATGCAATTGAATATTTCAATAGCGAAACCTGGCTGAGAGTAAGGCCCGGAATCATGATTGATGCGGAGAGCTCGGTGGCGGATGCAAATGGAAGGAAGAGGCTTATATTCGATGAAGACGGTGCAAAGGACTCTTTGGATATGAAGATAACGAGGGCAGTCGGGAAGGCCACGCTTGTTGAGCTACAAACAGCGATGTGGCAGCAATATAAGAGTGGCACCCTCAGTATTGAAGAAGCCAGATATGTGGAACGGATGTACCGTGAAGACAATATCCTGAGACTTTCTAAGAGGGATCTGGACACAACATCGACGTATTTTGACAAAGGTGTTATAGTCTGAGTCACAACTGCTCGTTAGCTTTGTCTTTTTGATAAATGACTGTACGTAGAACAATTGTTACTATTATTTTGCATGCTTTCTCTAGATTGGAAAGCGTAGCCACTCTTAAGAAGATTTTAGACAATCTGTGTGCGAATATCCAAAAAAGATTGTGATGTACGTTTTCCGATCACCATACTTTGTTCTTCGATACTTCCAGTCGAGGCTATAGAAAGGCGACATCTCATTGACACCCAGTAGATTATCTCGTGCATTAAGTCCGGAAGTCTTTCGCTCATGTATGAATGCCCTCAGCGCAATAGTAAAGTCAACGGGGACGTATTCAGTGAGAGTAAAGCAACCACTTCAACTCGCCCAAAACCAGCAACCCCCCAACCACACCCAACACAATCTCAATAGCAATCGCCTGAAAAATAACTTTAAAGTACCGAACCCTCGCAGACCACTCAAACGTCCTCCACGCATCCACAATACCCAATCTCACATCCCCATCCCCCATCTTCACCTTACCACCAAACTGCCGATCAAACGGCACAACGGGATCAAGCCCCTCAGGCAACATTGAAGCCGCCACACGAGTGAATATCGCATTAACAGGCACAGTGAGTAAGAAAAAGAACATAAACAAGAGAACAACACCAGTTCCCCCCTCTCCCTCTCCACCCCTCGATCCCTTCTCACCAATAATACCCAAAATAACCCACCCAATAGCCCTAGAGACAGCCAAATTCAGCGAGGAAGTCACAGACATGACAGCACTATGCAGCACTGCGACAGGAGCAATCCGTTTCCAATGCTGGTACCCTAGCATGCGTCGATAGCCGACGAAAGGCGATTTATCTGCGATGACTACATGCACCCATGCCATTTGCCATGTAGCGAGGGACATTTTGCCCATAAAATTGGCTAGAAACGAGACGAGGGTCATGTGGATGGGAATGGGGATGAAGGCGGGTATTAAGAGGGCTAAGACCATATCTAGCGAGATGAAGGCGAGATACATGCGGAATCCGCGGAAGGTGGAGAAAATACCGCCGCCGCCGAGGGTGAAGAGGTAGTTGATGGCTGTGCGGAGGTCGCTGGTTATTGCTTTCGGGACTGGGGTGGTGGTGAGTTCGGGATCATTGCGGTTGTTGGGTTGGTTGTCGAGGCGGATGTAGGGGGGTGGGTTGGAGTTAGGGTCTTCAATTGCAGCTAGGGCTGCGATGACTTGGGAGGTGTAGGCGACCTGTTCTCTTTTATGAGTATGTTACTTGTTTATTCTGGTATTACTATTGACTCACCCAGAAAGTTGCAAGGAAGAAAGCAAAAACAGTGAAGAAGATGAGAAAGATGCCTATCCATTCTTTCACCAGAGGATCTTGACCGGGTTGAAGCCGAGCTGATATCACTTCCGTGCTTCGGCGTATGAGAGCAGCGCTAATAGATGACATGATTGCTCATTAAAAGGAAATAGAAACATATTGCAAAAGTAAGCGCGGACGAGGGACATAAGAATCTAATATAACTCGCCACTCTAAGCACAAGCTAAAATGTCTCAGATGCAAACCATGAGAAGTGCAGGGATCTCACCTAATTCTGCTTCGCCAAGGCCGTAGTGCGGGGCGTTTATGATAAGCGAACATTTTGTCTCACTCATCGTGCTCTCGAATTTTGTTCAGAAGAAGCAATTAGCAAGGCCAGAGGTTATAGGGCACAGGTTCCCAAATGGGAAGAGGACAAGATATTGCAGATGCCACAAGGTGGCTACTAGTATGAAGATCGATGTCAGTGCGCTGGGCTCCACTTTTCCACCGATGAAGCATCTTGCTTGGCCAATGCCGTAACGAAGCACAAGAGGTAATAGATCTTGCTTCAGTACATTTTGATTTTCAAGAGATTACTTTCTCATTATTATGGCAACTCACTAATACAGCTTTATCTCAAATACCCATTGATCGCCAGCGCAAACAACACAGCTACACTATACACGTTCCTCCAGATGAATCACAATCAAGGATAAACCGTCTCATACCCATCATCGCTGCCATCATCAGTCTCATACCAAGTGATGTTATCAAAGTACAGCGTTCTAGTCGCATCAGTGTAGGCGTCGGTATCTAGAAAATCCAGTTAGCAACGTAACAACCACAACCCTAATTATCTGATCAAATAACTCACCAAAACAATACTCCCCGTTCTTGAAGTACCACCCGGTAGTCAACGCATCGTCATCGTCCCAAGTCCCAAAACCCACATCAATATCCGACACACTGTAAACCTGCTCCCCATCCCACCAAACCTCATATGCGCCATCACTCTCCTCCGACACGCGCATATGCACCACAACACTATGCCAGGCATCTCGCTCAATATCATCCACAATCGTCGCCGTCGTGCCAGTAGAACAAGCCGCACGGTGCGTAGTCTGCAGAGTATTGTTCACGATCTCTACAGTGCCACACCACGAGGAGCACCCGCCGGGGCAGAACTGCTGCGCAATGATAGAGCTCTTGTCCGTCGGGTAGGTATCAGAGGGCACGTAGATGGAGAAACCCTGCCAGCCTTCCTTGGTCATTTGGGCTACATTGGTGGTGGTATCGTTCTCAAAGACGCAGATCTCAGCGCCTTTGCGGTCGCGGGTGCCGTCGTAGTAGGACTCGTCAAAGTAGACAGTGAGGTTTCCATCTGTGGCGGTGGAGTAGGATGGGGATTCTACATTGCAGGCGGAGAAGGGGGATAGTCCGGAGGTGAAGTTGCTATGGTAGATGGTGCCTGCGGAGGCGAGGTGGTGGAAGAGAGGGAGGGAGAGGAGGGAAAGAATGGACATCATGTTGAAGTGTTGTGAAGCTTGGGATGATGTTGAAGGGAGGATGTGGTGGTGATACAAGCTACTTTAAATGCTTTGTGTTTACTACCCCGAATCAATTGAGTTTGATATCTATACTAAAGTAGGGTTGTTTTGTGCTTGTTCTTCAGGGGCATCGGCACATGAAGCAGCCGTTCTTCCTGCTCCCCACCAGATCCACATCCTTCCCGTCTTCTCGGGAAGAACGCGTATGCCACTTAATTTATGCACACCGGCGCATGTTCCGGCTGTTCCCCGCATGGATATTGACTATATTCCTTAGCTTGGTTAGAGAATCGGTCCCTGTCCGGCACTTAGCCCGAGGTCTAATTTAATCTTTGATCATGAGATGAAAACTAGTAATATGAACAACATGCCACCACTACGATTCCAACCTAACTACTATCAAACAATCCGATCATGCATTTTCTCAAGCTATGCCTTGCGGTGGCCTCCGCTACTCACGTCTACGGGCTGATTCAAGATGTCCCCAGTCTAAACGGTACGAGCTAGACGTTAACCTCCAGCATCCCCACTAACATGCTTATCCACACTAGGGCCCGTAATGATGGTCCCCGATACACCCGGCTCCAAAAACAGAACGAATCAATTCCAACATCCAGGACTCTGGCACAGCCATGATCAACTCGAGCTCATGCGAACAAATGTCCTCAATGGTGTCGAGCCTTGGGCATCTGCATACACCCGATTCGCTCAAGATCCCTACTCCAATGCATCCTATGAAATGCAAGGCCCGTATCCTGTGATCAGTCGTGGGCAAATAAGCAACTATACTAGTTTCCATGATGATTCTCGCGCTGCATATCAGAATGCTATTATGTGTAAGTACACAAGCCCGAAGGGCCTTTTCCAGGGCTAATACCTTGGATTCATTACAGGGTACATCACCCGCAACGAAAGCCACTGGAACCGCTCCACCACGATCCTCGACGCCTGGGGCTCCGATCTCGAGAACATAATCGGCACAGACCGATCCCTCCTTATCGGCATCGAAGGCTCCATCTTCGCCAATGCAGCCGAGATCATGCGCTGGGAAGGCGGCTGGGTCGAGCAAGGCGCGACATACAAAGGTGGCTCGGGCTTTAGCGTCCAGCTCTACTGGCTCTTCGCCCGACAGAGCATCATTATCGGACAAGCGAACTACGGCATGGCAAGTATCATGGGCTTGCTTAATTTTGCCGTCTACCTGGACGATGTGGCTCTATACAACTATGCCTTATACGCATACAAGTATGATCGCTGTGCCGGAGTGCCTTATAATTATCTAGCTTCCACAGGCCAGAACTCCGAAGCGGGTCGCGATCAGTCCCATGTACAGGATGCGCTGCAGTGGACGGCACTTGCTGCGAGGGTCGTCGCTAACCAGGACTATGACTTGTTCCCTTTGGAGGATAATCTTATATTCACCGCGGCAGAGTATGCGGGGAAATATCTCATGAATCAGACGGTGCCGTATGATGCGAGCTTTTATCGATGTGAGGTGGTTTTGGTGGATGGTCCTTGGGCGAACATTTCTGCGGTAAATCGGTATATTGGGTATCAGGATGGGAAGACGAATCCGGCTGCTTGGGGTCTACTTTATTATGAAGCTTTGGAGAGGGGGGTTGATGTGCCTTGGACGTCGCGCGTGAAGGATGTTTATGATGCTTCTGTGAAGAGCCAGGCATCGCCGGTTGATCCGTTCAGTTGGGCGGATTTGCTTTTCGCGGTTGCAGAGAATTAGCGACCTCGATGGATGTATTTGCTCGACATGTATATAAACAATGGTATTGGAAATAAGTGGTAAATATATGGAATAGCTCTGTTCCATAGAAGCTCTACATGGAATTGAATACTAAAGACCGAGAGCTTTTTGTTCACTATAGCAATGATAGTACTCAAGAAAGTCGGTTAGATTCAGCACTGATGCCTGGGATTATTTTTATAAGTTTTATGATCGTACAGTTATTGTGACATATTCCGGATCCGTTCATCACTAACTAGCTACTAACAGACTATACATTTCCAAATCCACAACAATTGAAACACGACCTAATAAACATACCTAAAATTCGGATTCTCCCTATCCGTCAAATCCTGAAACGCCAACTCATGCGAGACATCACTGCTTTCACCCTCCTTCGCCTTATTCCTTCTCATCAGAATCACCCTTGTCAGGACAACCAGTGCAATAAACACAGCATAAATCACAATATGCGCCAGAAAGCCGTGCAAGTATCTTGGAGCGTCAGAATTCTGGAAGATCTGCGGCGCAATGAGATTTCCCACGGCCCAACCAACAAAAAGAAATGTCATGGTGAGACTTTTCTTAGTCTGACCGGCCGTGTTGCGGGTGATCAGGGAAATGATCATGTTGCCCTCGGCGAGGAAGAACTGCGTGCAGTAGAAGGCGATGAGCATGCCGCCGGCATTGGATGCTGTGGGTGTCACGACGAGGATGACGATGGTTCCGACGATGGCTGGGATGGTCCAGAGCTGGTATGGGGTTAGCTTTTGGTGGTGAGTGAGTAGGTAAAGGAAAAGCTCACAATCATGGTTAAACACGTCTGTTGGAAGCGCTGTGAGCACCACGCAGATCCGACCATCACAATGATTGTCCAAGAGCCTTGGGCAATATTCAATAGCTCAGTCTGAAGTAGAGAAAAGCCGAATTGTTCGATGATCAGGTTAGAGAAGACGCCTAGGCCACCGATGACCAAGTTGGCCACGAGAATGAGCATCACACAGCACCAGACGATAGGGTCCTGGATCGTTTCGATAATTTGATATCTTTTGAATTGTCGGTTCTCGATTCCGGTCTCATTGTGTCGTACCCGCTCTACCATCAATTTCTTGTCTTCTTCGCTGTAGCACTTTGCTGAGAGAGGACTGTCTGGCAGGAAGAATCCAATAAAAAATGACCACACACATGTAGCACATCCAAGAGCGAGGAAGAGTAATTGCCAGTTCTTGATCACTCCGCCTACGTACTGGGAGGTGCCGAAGGCAAGTAGACCACCGATCTGTTGTGGGTAATTAACTGAGCTGCATCTTCAATGGTAAAGAGAGAAGAGAAATGGCATACCATCAATTGCACTCCAGTCATGCAGTACCAGATTGAGTTCAACACCGACTGCTCTTCTCGCTTATACCACATGGCTGTTCTAGCATTAAAGTCAGCAAGACTCACTGAAACCAGAGACCGGAAAGACACTCACATGAGCATCATCGCAGGCTGGATACAGCTCTCGAAGAACCCCAACAGGAACCGGACCGCCATCAACGATCTAAAACGTGTAGATGCAGCCGAGCATGCCACGATCGCACCCCAAATAAATACATTGACAGAGAGCATCTTGGCAACTGGAAACTTCTGCAACAGTAGATTCTGGGGATATTCGCCCACAAGAATGCCGATATACAGAATCGTGCCCAACAGCGAATACTAAATGATTATCAAATCAGCATCAAAGGTACATTGTGAGCTAATGATGGGTTGGTGTGTACCTCTTGTCCGACCAGATGTGCATCGTCCTTGATACCCATGATAGAGGCATAATTCAAGATGCCCTTGTCAAGTGACTGAAAGAAATAGGTCACGATCTGAATAACTAAAATACGACGAGTGATCATCCAAAACAGTCGTTTATCTGTCGCCTCGTCGATCTCAATGCCTGGGTCTGCTGCATAGGGGTCTTTCTTCTCGGTCGATTCGAGGTGATCGGCTGTTGTGGTGTCTATATCGGAGATTTTGGATGCCATTGTGGAATCTGGGGATTGTGGGGTTGTGGAGTTAGGCAGATTGAACTTCAGAGATGGTTATCAATGTATGGATTTGTATCCCCCGGACTCAGTGTGAGAAAGAGCTTGCATGGTGGGGAAGGCTTAGCTGTAACAGGTGTCTCGTAGGCTCGTCGGAGGGACTCCGGGAGATCGCCCGAAATGCCTATCCACGGGATTTTGGCATGGACTTCTTGCGCGGAGGAATTCCCGGATCCTTTCCCGACTGCGAATGCATACTTCCACAAATGGAGAATGAATTCTTGTAGAGAGGAACAAGCAGGTCTTAACAAGTCTCTTATTGCGTATTCAGTATTAGATCAACTTCTCCTAACCCAGCATCGGTCCCTTGACAAATTAAGAACAATGTCTATTATCGAAGCCCCAGCGACCGTCAACGGCACCGGCTCCGACCTACCTCCATCCAAGCAATGGACGCGAGTACTCGAAGCCCTCTATTCAGAATCCGCCCTAGCAAAGGTCTGGTTCGTCGCATCCAAGGCGATGGGTAGTGTGAGTGATACAATCTTCTGAGCCGATATAATACATATCAGTAAGCCCGAAAGTAATATTAACAAAAACAGACAAACCCTCCAACTCTATACCCCGAATACACTGGCGAAGACAAAACCACATACATCTACCGAGCCCTCGACTTCTGGACATCCGGATTCTTCCCAGGATCATTATACCTCCTCCTAGAACGCAGCACTTTCTTCCGCGACCGGCATCCTGCTCCCCATTCCACGCAAGCAAACAGCGAGTCCGTTCTCCGCCCCCATCCCCTCCAACACGAGCACCTCTGCCGCTGGTGGACAGCCAACCTGCACCAAAATGCCCTTCGTAAGGATACCCACGATCTAGGCTTCATGATCACCCCCTGGGCAATGAAGGCATGGACACTTCATCGGGACCCAGCAGCATACAACACCCTCGTGCTAGCAGCGCACTCCCTTGCTAGCCGCTTCAGCGAATCAACACAGTGTATCCGCAGTTGGGATCAGTGTATCACGAAGCGCTATGCATACAAAGACCCGTCGCAAGACTTCCTAGTCATTATCGATAACATGCTAAATCTGGATATGCTGTTCTGGGTAGCGAGAGAAACAAATTGTCCAAGGCTATATGACATAGCTAGGGCGCATGCGATCACCACGCAGAAGAATCACATCCGAGATGACTGTACGACCTTCCACGTGGTAAAT